CACGGCCTCAGGACGGGTAACGGGCGGGGGCTCTCCTCGGGGAGCATCGTCCCCTGCACGGTTTGGGGTGGGACCGTGCTCTCCCCCCACGCGGGACCCATTTGGGTGGTCCGGGCTGGGGGGCAGCCCCTGGAGAACATCTCATCTGCAAGGAGCACGCTGGGCACCCACTGCGGGGGGTGGTGGTGGGATGTCCCTCCCGTGTCCTCCTTGTTGGGGGTCTGCTGGACCCCCCTGGGTGGGTATGTTGAGTCGGAACTCCTCCGTGGGAGCAGGAGGGGGTTAGGACCTGGTAGGGGGTCTCTGCAGAGGATGTTCGAGGGACAATTGGTTATGGGTTTTCAAATGTGTTTTAGGAGGGGTTGTGGATTTTTGCCTCTGACAAATGGCCAAGTTCCTGGTACTGCACCCTGGGCAAGGCCTGCTCTTGGGGGGAAGGAACAGATGATGGCAGGTGGATTCTTCATGTGCTCTAAGAAACTGAATTAGAGCTGAGGAGAAGACAGTATCATTCCTGTTAAATGGAGTCTGTGAGATCCCGTCGGTGCTGGAGTTGTGGATGTTGTCATCCTTATTTTCCCTGTAACAATTCCTTTTTACCATTTTTTTTTCCAACCAATAACATACACATCTGTCTGAAAAAGTGTATCTTGGAGTGGTTCCTGGGAGCAGAGATGGGGCCACTGGTTCCTCTGATTTCTGTGGCTTTAACCCTTCCTGGCATGCCCGAGGCTGGCACTGTGGGTTGGTCACCAGCCGCTTGAGACTCTGATGCACTGGCAGAAGGGGACTCTTTACTGGCGCCAGCTATCAAATGGCACTGGGCAGCTCTTGAGCGAAATGGGGAGAATTTTTACCAGCTTCTTTCCCCAATCTGTTTTGCAAGAAAAAGTTGGGTTTGAAATGGGCAGTGGGGCCATCTCAGAGGAAAAACTCCAGTACTCCAGTTCGTGGGGCATCCTGCTCGTCCACCTGAAGTGTTGGCAGAGGGCACAGACATTTTTGCCTCTTGGTGCAGGCAGGTTTTGCCTAAGCTGGTCGGCTCTTTGGTGTTCGTGGTCTGTCCAGGTTTGACTTCTAACTTCTCGCCTCTCGTGTTGTTGGCAGTGGTGGACTTTGTGTCATCAGACCTGGAGGATGTTGCCCAGAAGTGTTCCCTGTCTTACAAGGTAAAGGAGGACTTGTCGGTCCTGTTACACTAACTGGGGAGCTCAGAGCTGTTCAGCTCACTGCTTGGATGTGGTTGTCTGGGGGACCTTCTGCAGCAGACTTTGTTGGCCCTGGACTTCAGGGCCACCCATTGCCAGATGTCTCTCTGCCCACCAGGCGCTGGTTGCAGTGAGACGTGTGCTCCTGGCCCAGTTCTCTGCCTTCCCCACCAACGGAGCAGACCTCTATGAGGAGCTCAAGAGCTCCACAGCCATCCTGCCCACTGGGAGCCCACGGTGGGTACATTGCCAGGCGAGCCAGCAGGTCGGCCTGGGGCTGGGCTTGCTGCAAAAGGCCACGGCTGCCCAGCACAGGCTTTGAATTTTGATGTGGTGATGCCCTGGGCAGGCTCAGTGGTGCCCAAACCGTCCCCAGCAGCTGTTTTAAAAACTTCCAGCTACAGCCTGACTCTGCCTTTTGTGAGCAAGAGATGATTATTCTTCATGCCCTGCGGCTGCAGAGCCAGCTGATCTGTATCCCTTGAGGGAATGACATTGCTGTTGTCCCTGCCAGAGCCTTTGGAGGTGGCTGTGTGTCTCAGACAACGTGCTGCCCTCAGCCTTTCCCGTGAGAGCTCCAGAGAGGAGGAGGGCTATGGATCCGGGGGGGCTGTTTGAGTGATGAGCAGTCTGAATCAGGCACGGAAATGAGTTGCTCTATTGCATGTCCGTCCTTTTCCCTGTCTCCTTGCTGGGTTGTTACAGTGACTATACAGAGAAACCCTGGGTATTCAAGCCTTGCTCCCAGGACCACAGCTCTTCTCCAGCTCAGGACTGTCCTCTTGTATCCCCCACGTTTCAGATCTGCTGTTGCCCACAATGTGGAGAGAGCTAGGGATGGGAGGGAAGGAGCAGAGCCTGGGGCACGTGTCTGCATTTGGGAAGGGGACTCCGGGAACTGCTGCTTCCCGATGGCCCTGCCATTCTGGCTGGAGATGTGTTGGTAATCCCACCTTGTGTTCAACCCACAGCCTGGACCAGCTGCTGGACTCTGGGCTGTACACGGGGGAAGTGACGGAGCTCATGGGAGGGCCAGGCAGTGGGAAGACACAGGTGAGTGGCGCAGAGGAGAGGACAGGCAGGGTGCGGATGCCTTCAGGCACGTGAGCGGAGGGGCCTGGGAGGGCTGGCTGATGCCAGCTCCCTGTCTCTCCAGGTGTGCCTGGGCATTGCGGCCAGTGTGTCCCTCAGCCTCAAGCAGCACGTCCTGTTCCTCGACTCCACGGGGGGGTTCACTGCTTCCCGTCTCTACCAGATGCTTCGAGCCCAGGCAGAGGATGAGGAAGAGCAGGCAAGTGGCCCTGGAGCTGGTCCCGCAGCTGCTCCTCCACTCATGCTAGAACTGCCTTGGCTTTTGCCTGCAGGCAGCCCCCAGAGACTGCTTTTCTGTCTAGCTCTGCCTTTGTCCCCATGGGCATTTTTGGGTCCAAACTCTTCGTGCTGTGACTGGGTGGGTGCTGTGCTCAGGGACAGACGCTGCACTTCGGTTGTTTTTTTTTCTTGGGGAGAAGGGGAGGGCTTGCTGTAGTTCCTCATGTTTTTGCTCCCTGAGCTCAATCTGCATTGCTTCTTCCATCAGTGCAACGGGGACAAACAGTGTTCATGGGGTGGAGGCAAATGTGGAAGAAATAAGGGTGCCTGTCTCCATGGCATGGTGTAAATGCAGAGCTGGTAGCAGCTGGGCAGGAGGAGTATGGTGCGTCCTGGAGGTGATGAGGCTCTGGTTGATGCCACTTTGTGCCACAGCGGGAGGCTCTGCAGCGGATCCAGGTGGTCCGTGCGTTCGACATCTATGAAATGCTGGGTGCCTTGCAGGAGCTGCGGGATCGCCTCTCCCAGCAGGTAGGAGCGAGGCTCCAGGCTCCTGTCCCTTCCCCAGAGCTGCAAGGCTCGTGTGCCTGACGAGTGACCCCAGATCACCCCGTCCTGGGGACATTTGAGCCCCTGTGCGGCTTGTGACCTCCAAACTCGCTGAATTTATTACTCCACATTGCACATGGTGCCTCCTCCTTGCAGGACGTGAGCTCCGTGGGCCCTCTCAGGATCGTGGTGGTCGACTCGGTCTCGGCTGTGATTTACCCGCTGCTGGGCGGCAGGCAGTCGGAAGGTGAGCTGCTTCGTTAGGATGTGCAATGAGGTTGCAGACCTCGCTGCTCGTCCTGAAGAGCATCTTCCATGTGTGATGTGCCTGGAGCTGGGGCAGGACAGATGTGGGTGCAGCTGCTCCCAGCCTTTCCTTTGTGACTGGGTAAAAGGGGAGTCTGTTTGCAGTGTTATCGGCAAACATTCGAGCTGGCTGTGCAAGCTCATGCCAGTGGTCTGAAACCTGGCCAGGGGACAGAGAAGGCACTGAACTGTTTGCCTACAGATTAAAACCTCTGCTTACGGTGTCACAGATATGTGGTGGTTGCTGGCACAGTTTGCAAAGCTCCCCTGAGGCTCTTTCTGCCAGACAGGACCATAAATCAGGAGCGAGGGGCTTTCTGCTGGCTGGGATGCTGAGGAGGCCCCTCAAACACCTTCCAGTGTCTTGCACAGCTGGATGGCAGCCAGTGCTATCGCAGGAGGTCCCCTCGCAGCCATGGGCTGTAGGTAATGAAGCTAGGAGCTGGGGAGAGGGGTCCTGTTCCTGCTAAATCAACCTGGCCAGTTTTGCCTGGAGCTCCCTGTGCTTTTGTAGGGCTTTTTGGCCTCAGGGCTTTTAAGATGGGAAAGGAGGGAGTGGGACAGCTCAGGGATTGGTCTGTCCACGCTACATCCATTGAGCCAAAGTGCCGTGGAGTGTGCGAGTGCAGTGGGTACATTGGGGTGCTGGTGATGGAAATGGGTTGAAAGTGCTCGTGAACACCAGCACTGGCACTAAATCTAGTGCTCACGCAAATCTAGATGTCACTTGCCTCCAAGGTATATTTTGGCAGCTGCTCCCTCTGTTTCGGTTGATCCCCCAGCACCCAAATGCTTTGTCGTCCTCCAGGCTTGGCCATCATGATGCAGCTGGCCAGGGAGCTGAAGACACTGGCCAGGGAGTTCAGCCTTGCTGTTGTGGTGAGCGTTGCTGCGCCTTGTCCTTCGTGTGCTGGTGTGTGCCGTGGCGAGGAGCCCTGGAGAGGTTTTGCATCCCCTGGGAGGTGGGATCCTGCTCCCAGCTGACAGGAGCAAGGGGCCGCTGCTCCCTGATGTAGCTCTGCTGCTCTGCAGCCCGTGGATGTCTTGTTCCAGCAAGTGTGGAGCAAGAACAGGGCTGATCTGCTCCCTGCTTTTATTGCTGTCCTCAGCCAACACGGCATTCACTCGATTGAGCAAGGCAGAGTTAAGTACAGGCAGACTGAAAGGTTGTTTGTATTTAGTTTTGATATAACACCATTCATTTAAGGGGCTGGCCAGCTTGCTAAGTAACCTCCTGCTTGGTTACCTTGGAGGAGCTGCAGGGCATTGCGTCACCCAGAAGGAGCTGGGGACTGGAGGGGGTTCTGCTCTAGTCTTCTCCAGCTCTTGGCCAGGCAATGGCATTTGTTTCAGCGTGCCCAGACTGGTTGCTGGGACCACAGTTAATGTGTTTGAGTTGGGAAGACCACAACAGAAAATGGTGGTGTGCTGAACCTGGTGCTGGAAGGTGTTGAGAGAGTCTCGCCCTGATTAGTGATAAAGTAACAAGGACGAGGTGCCAGGAAGGATGCTTGGAGGCTCCCAGTTAAAACTTTGCTGGTGGCTTCAGCACCAGGAGTCGCTGCAGCTTGCAGATACGAGTGAGCTCCTACCTGAGTACATACCTGGGACAGCTGTGTGGGCTGCGTTTAGAAGGGATGGCATGGATGTGCCAAAAAGGGAGGGCTCAGGATGGGGAAGAAAATACTTCACACAAGTAGCAGACTGGCCATTATCTCTTGGTGATCTCCAGTGTTCTGTTACACCGAGTGGCACTACTTTTCCCAGGCACCAATACGCCTGTTTGTGCTGCAGGTGACTAACCAGGTGACAAGGGACAGCAGCACTGGTCCACTGAAGCCAGCCCTCGGCCGCTCCTGGAGTTTTGTGCCCAGCACCCGAGTGCTGCTGGAGACCAAAGAAGCCACCTGGGAGAAAGCCACCACTCAGCGCGTTGCATCCTTGGCAAAGTCACCCCGGCAGGTGAGGGTCCCTGGAACAGTCCTCTGGTAGTGGAGGAGCAGCTATATGTGACATGGACCTGGCTTCGGAGCAGAGGAAGGCTCCTTCTAGGGACAGGGCAGGATCAGGCCTCCCTGGGTGGCCCATGGCAATGGGAGGAGGAGCGAATGCAGCCTGGTTGGATGCTGTGGAAGACCAGAGCATCTGTTCCCAACAGCCTGAGCATGTATTTATAGGCATGTTAAAGAGTGGCAGCGCTCCCAATCCAGGTCACCGCGTTCCTTGTGCTTGTCTCGCTCTCCTGATGGCATATGGGAGCAGGAATCCCTCGGAGCTGGCTCTGACATCTGCAGAGGTGACTTTGGCTTGAATCCTGCCTATGTACAGGGCAACGCTGCCTGAGCCTCCTGGCTCCAAGCCTGTTCTGCAGCCTGATCCAAATGGGTTTGAATTTGGTGGTGTGCTGGGTGGCGAAATGCATCCTGGCTGTGCTGAATAACAACGTGTCTGGGGATATCTCAGAGCAAGACGTTCTTTCTTTTCTAAATTGCGTTCTCTATTTGTATCTTGGTGTTCAGCAGACCCTGTTAAAATGAGGGCACCAGCAGAAGGAAATCCTCAGTGGGATGTAATTGGGGATTTTTGGCTCTGCAGCAGGTGATGGAGCAGTGTACAGGTTTGCCCTTAGTCCTGGCAGTGTGAGGTTAAGCCCCTCTGTTTCTCTTTGCAGCCCACGGGGATACAGGTGGAGCTGGATATTGGAAATGCTGATGTGCAGGAGCCAAGCCCAGCAGCACCCACACAAGGGCACTGATGTGGGCGGAAAAGCAGATGTCAAGGTCCAAGACAGCTGCAAAAAAACCAGGCAAGTACACTGGAGGTTTTACAGACTGCCTCTAAGTTCTACAGCCCTGGGAAGGACCAAGATGCAGAAGCTCTTGTTCCATGCTGCGGAGAAAATGAGTGTGGGGTTCCCCAGAGATCTCCTTGCCTCAGCAGACGCAGCCTGTGGTGGCTGGGCTGTGTGGGCTGCATGACAGCCATGTCCTCTCCTCCACTGTGGGCTTGTCTTCAACTGGCAGAGCCAGCCCTGTCCTGAAGTGTTGGCTTGGGACCAGCTGGCTTGTCCCTCCACAAACCCGCGACTCCTGGGAGTGTTTGTTCCCCCCATAACTCGCTGCCCTCTGGTCCCGGAGCTCTGATTGTCCTTGGGCAGCCCATGGTGGTCTTGGTTCAGAAATTAAAAAAAAATGTTGCACACTGCTGTGGCGGCTGAGAGCTGGAATTCAATTAATGGCTACTGCTGTTAATTAAAATTTGGAGGTTCAGTCCCTAGCAGAACTGGGGTGGGACAGGCTGTTGATGAGCAGGGACATAATTGAGTGCTTGATCTGACCTCCCCAGAAAAACACCAGGCCCCCCCAGGGAGCTGCTCGTATTTTCGGGACACTGCTGTGCTGCATAAAGCATTGCTGTTCGCTGGTGGTGGCTGTGGGCTGGCTCAGCTGGGGTGGACGAGTCCTGACTGACACCAGCTGGCCCTGTCTGGTGCTCAAGGACCTGCTCAATTCCATGTGGTGAAGTTTGAAATGGTCTCTCCTTGCTCCAGTGCTTTCCAGCTTCTCTTGCCTGCTCAGGGAGGAGACAGGAGGCTGGGATGGAGTGTGGCCTCTCCTCTTGATCCCAGGTGTCCTAGACATCCTTATCCTCTGCTTAGTAAGAAACCTCCTTGGCTTGGCAGGTGAGCTGAGCTGTGGCTTACACCTCCAAGGCTGCTCAAGTAGATTGTGGGGGCTGAGACTCATCAGGGTATGCTTGTTAAACTAATAACACAGCAGCACAGCTCCTGAAGCCTTCTGAGGCTGTGCTGGGCAAAGAGGAGTCGGATTTAGCCAGAACTTGGGTGCTAATTCCACACCATCACCCAGGCCTGTATTCCCGAGCAATCGCTGCTCTAGGGAAGGGGCAGCTAAAAGGGGTGTGTGAACACATATTTTGGTTTCCCAAGAGGCAAGGCCAGGCCTTGGCACCGATTTTTGTTTTGCACATCTGTCAGAGCTGTGGTTCCTGCAAAGCCGAGCTCTCAGTGCTCCCGGGGCTGTGATTTATGGAGCAGGTCCCACCTCCTCCATCGCGGCCACCCATCCACCACAGCCCTGTGCTCCCAGCAGGTCCTGCCCGAGGAGGGGAACGTGCCAAAGCAACCTGAGCTGTGCCACTAAACAGTTCTCAGTAAAAATAGGTGTATTTTATAGTTGTGTGTTTATTTGCACTTCTGGGCTTTCCAAGCTTGGGAGGGGAGGTTTGGTCCCGGCGATTGCAGCCTGGCTGGCTGGGGCGAGGAGGAGGATGGTGTTTTCCTGCCTGCTGGAGACCTGTGGTGATGTGGGTGGGGGTTTTTAGAC